AGTTGGAGGTTGCTGTGAGCTGTGATGCCATGGCCCTCTACCCAGGGGGATAGCTTGAGGCTCCGTCTATAAAAAAAAAATCCTCAACTGTTCAGATGAAGTGTTAGCTAGAATTCCTCTGGATTTCCTCTGCCCCTTTTTGCTCTGTGTTACTACGACCCCTGATTTGTTCATAACCATTTTGTAGAAAGATGTTGTTTGGCTGCATCGTGTATCAGTAGCAGTTTGCATGGTCTAAGTACAAATAAATAAAATCTACTTTACCTATAGTTGTCTACCCCGATTTCACCTAGTGTTTCAGTGAGTAAAAATGTGGTTAAATATGTTCTGTATTATATTTTTGATATGGAGAAAAAAAATTAAATGAGGGAATTGCTCTTTTTCAAAATGAATAAATCAAAGGTGACCAAATATACATTCTAGGTGACTAGCTACACTTGAACAAATGTATTTCCCTCTCCTTGTGTTTGTAATTGTATTCAAATGGTATAATTTGTGGTTATTTGCAGCTAAAGAAGAGAGCCATGTTTGGAAAATTGGGAGAAGAGAAGTGGTAAGCAGTGCTCTTAGGTTTGTAAAGAAGCCAAATAAAGAGCAGCCTGGGGAGGAAAATCCCAGCAGAGGGAGTTACAGAAGGAGGAACAAAGGTTAACTAATTGGAAAACTGATGAGCCCAAGAGTTCGAAGTTGCTGTGAGCTATGATGGTTAGAGCCCTCTACTGGGGACAACAAAGTGAGACGCTTGTCTCAAAAAAAGAAAAAAGAACTATTGGGTAATGGTGATTAAGAGGAAAAATGACCGGCCAAGCCTGGTGGCACATGCCTATAATCCCAGGTACTCTGAATTTCAGAAGGCCCTGGCAGAGAATCACTTGAGCTCTCGAGTTCAGGACCAGCCTGACCTATATAGTGAGATCTATCTTATATTAAACAAGACACATGAGATTTAGTCTTTATATTCCAAAAACTTAATAGGTAGTTGATATCTAAGAAGGTAAAAGTTCATTCTTTTGAGAATGAAGCCAATAAACACTAAAGCAAAGGTTTTCACTTAAGTACCCCCCTATCTGAAGAGGTTTGAGAATTGGAGAGTTGCAAACCTCATTTAAGGCTTTCTTCCTTTTCCTCCTGAAGACACATGAATGTTACATTTTATTACATTTTAGTTTTAAAATTCACTTTGATTTTTCAGTTTGTATTTCCATTTCAGTTTGCACCTGAAGGAAAAACGCTCTCTAGATAGAATTTGCCTGGGTCCTCTAAATTTTACAATACGGATTCAGGACTCAGAAGTGGGAGGAGCAGTGGCCTTGCTCAGGGAATTCCAAGCCTGGAGTTTTCTGGTAAAGGACAAGGTTAATTCTGCTTCAAGCAATCTTAACTATTCAAAACACCTTGTGTCACAGGAAAAAACAGTTTGTGACTGCAAACCAAAGGCAAAGGCAGACAACAGCCAGACAGGCAGGAAAATGGGGGAGGGCCTCCTGGGGCCCTGTGGGCCCGACTCACGAGGGAGATAAAGGGAATTTGTTAAATAAAGAAGTTGATTGGGTACACAAAAGCTTCTGGCAGGAAGTTAGTTCGACTAAGGATACCAAAAAGTAGGAATTTGAATAGGTTGCTTGGTGTGAGTCTGCAGTGAAACCTTATTGAAAAGAGGCTGCTGGCGGTGAACCTCTCCTTAAGCCATTCCTGGTTTCTGGGTGGTTGATGTAAACTCCTGCTCCTAAAAGGAAGTGCCCTTGAGAATTTTAAAAGGTTAATAAACACCTGGGAAATAACTTCAGTGCTATGGTAGCGTTACTTCCAATTATACTACTAAAAAAGACGTTAAGAAACAGAAAAGCTCACAGATCAAATTAAGGTCCTAGAATCATACTACAATCAATTAACCACACATGGCACCATGCACAGGGAACAAGATAGGCTATATTTATGCATTTAGGTTAAAGTGCATGTGGGGTAGAACGGGAAACTATTGATTGGCTTGTCTCTGATGCACCAGCCAACTCCACTGGTGTAGTCACAAAAAACTAAAGATGAGGACCAAGCTCTGCAGAAGAGATGTACCTGGACGAATTCTATGTGAATGCTCTGTCGGAGATCTCAAAGGGCAACTCCTCTAGGACACAAGTATTTCCCCTTGGCTCAGTGAGCAGTTACGGAATTTATTTGCATTATTTGAGCAACACATGGGTAGGTCTGGAATGGATGTCATCAGTGGGTGGCCAACTTCAGAGCAGTGGATGTTGCATGCCCACTGGCACCTTGGGTATTTAGTGATACACAAAGCAAGAGCATTGGCTACTTCCTGCTAATTCCACTCCTTTTTGTGTTCTATGTGTTTTGCTTAGCTAAATATAAAATGTCTTATAGGTTAATAACTTATCTATAATTAATGTGTCTTAGGAGTTACACAAATTCCATTTGATTTTTCTTCCAGAGCCAAAGTGAACATTCTCAGACAATACAGTAAATGAGAATTACACCAGATTAGCCAGACAGTAGAATTAAGAATAGAAACTACACATAGAATTAAGAAAGCCTAACTCTTTCCTAATTCTTTTTTTGAGACAGCGCCTCAAGCTGTCCCCCTGGGTAGAGTGCCGTGGCATTACAGCTCACAGCAACCTCCAACTCCTGGGCTCAAGCGAGTCTCCTGCCTCAGCCT